GACCCCGGCTCTATAGGAACTCTGTGTTAAAGGGTCAATGCACCAAATTGGGTTTTGATAACAGTTTATTTCTCATGCAATGAAAGACACAAACTGCTCAGAGGGATTACTATTGAGCACAAGTTAAATGAGCTCATAGCACTACATTGGCTTTATCAGCCCTGCAAGAACAGATCGGTCTTAGATTCTTAGATTCTCTTAAATAAGTAGAATCTGAAACTGAAGGGTTTTAGATTAAATCTGATTCCTAAATCAAGAAGTAAAGCTTAAAGAATAGCCTAGGTTTGTAATTTGGAACAAAGCTGCGTCAAGTGTGACCTTCTTAGCAGCAAACCTAGAACTGGTCTAGTAGCCGTCTTACTGTGACATAAGTGCTGCAGAAGGGATTTATCTCTCTCTCTGTCGATCTCTCAGCCCCTCTTTCTAAAATATTCATTTCACAGTATTTTCTCTGTATATGATGTAGGTTTGGATTTTCCCTCCTAAATTGTGATGCTCTGGAAGTCTCTGTCAGTCGACCTGCCTGTATGTATGTTTTTCTATGTGTTTTGTTTTGTCTCCCCTGCCAGTCCCCTGCTTCCTCCTTTAAGTGTGTGTGTGTGTTCTCCAGCTTGCCAGTTTATGGGCGTCATCAGGCCAAAAGGTGTTTCCCGTGTTGAAGCCGCCACACCTGTCTTCCGTCTAGATTGGCCACTACTTAACTGTTTGACTGAGCTTCAGTCAACGCTGGATCGTTGAGTTACCAAGTGAAATCCCAGCCCTGAAATAGTCTTTGCGTGTGTTTCTGTGAGTTCACCAGACTGATCTCTGTACCTTGTCTTGTTAGGAACTTGGAGAGGAGTCACAGGAGCAAAGTGTTTGTAAATGTCGAGTGTCGGAGTTGTTTTCCTGTCACACCTGGACCACGAGCACAGTCCTGCAGGATTGGAAAGTCCTGCATTTGGGCCCCGTTCTCGCCACGCACCTCAACATAAATAATAAACACTTTGAGAAACTGCATTTTGTGTTTACTTTTGTTATCTTTGTCTAATATTTAAATTTGTTTAATGATCTGAAACACTTATTTCACACCACCTCATTCCAGCAATGTGAACCAAGCTGTCACTGCAACTGTACTAATGCCCAGTTTGTAACAACAGACATGATGCCTCATACTACAAAACAACCCCAAGAGATGCGGTTAAAATAAAGGGGGGGTTAAAAAAAGCCACACACATATCGACCAGTTGGGCAAACTTGTCAACACTGTTCTTCAGAGGATAAAGTGCTGGTCCTTGTTACACCACAAGACTTCAACACAATGTTGCAGACGTGTGTCACCCAGGAAACACGAGCCTTAAGGCCATTTTCAGAACTTTTTATTGTAATTCTAAGAATCGTTTGGCACATAGTGTTTTGGAAATGTAATTAATGATCAAATGGTAACTACTACAACAACGCTTGTTGTCACCATCTTATAACTGTAATTTTTTTTTTTTGTTGCTGATAACTGTATTTTCCTGCTCCTTTACTGCTGTAACCCCGCAAATGCGGCTCGTCTGTGAAGCACTTTGATGTACCCGAGTCTTTCAAATGTGCTATAGAAATACAATTGAAACTGAAACAACAGCAATAATAACAGTAATAATAATAATGGTACTAAGACTGATGATAGTTACTATTGATGATTACTGTTAGTATTAAGAGTTTCACTTTCTTCACTTCACCTTGAGGTAAACTTGTTTATTTGCAAAGAGAAGTAGAGGCAGGGCAGTATCTGGATGATTCAGATTCACTAACAAACACACAGTGGTAAGAAATAAATTTGTAGGTTTTCTGTATTTTTGTGTGTGCACTTGTTTTGTTTTTGCACTAGATATGAATGTTTCCATACACATACTGAGTGAGGCCCAATGTTTTTCATAGGAAGATTGTATCTACTTAGTCCTGCCTGTATGTTCCTTACAT